AAGTGGGCATCTGCTCTGCGCGCTGGCGGTTGTCGACTGGTGCACCGCCGTTGAGTTCGCGCGCACGCTTTTCGAGGTGTAGCTCGTGGTCGCGCTTTTCTGCGGCTTGCGCGATCCGTGTCCGTGCATCGCTGGGGTCGAACAGCTGGGTCGCGGCGCCGCCCGTCGCTGAACGGGTCATTTGGACGAAAGAGGGGTAGTAATGTTCACACCATTGCTCGATCTAAAAGACGCAAATTAAGATTAGCCTCCCGCAGTATCACTACGTAAAGGTTCACACTGACCTTTCCACATGCGATGGAGATTTGCATGAAGCTCGGATCTTCCGGGACTGCCTTTGCATGGATCTTCCGGGCGTAGTCGCGGAACATGTACGCGACATCTCGCGGGTTCGTCGATCGCATGATTAGCTAGACGGTCTCATTAGCGTTGATGCCGTGCACAGAACGATCCACTGCCCACCGAAGCTGCCTCCGCCTTCCGAATCTTGATGTGTTTCTGGAACATGTCGTAATTCATGAAGCATAGCGAGAGCGTCGCCATCGCCATCGTGACCGGAATTGCGCAGAAGTTAAACACACTCTGGTTTTTCAGGAGGCGCAGGTAGTCGAGGGAATCAACCGCATGGCCAAGGACGTCCACGACCATGCCGCTCAGAGCCCATAGCGCCTGTTTTTCGTTCCCCGGCAGGTACATCTCCTTCATCTCCTTGAAGGCAGGGTGACCACAGGCCTTGCCATAGAGCTCGCGGCCCCAGATCTCGCGCGGCCAAAAGTGCCGCCGCTGGTCGGTGTCTTCGCGGTAGTCACGGATGATGTTCGTCTTCTGCAGCATGATGCCCATCGAGTTTGCGAGCTCGAGCTGCTTGCCTAGCCATGACGCCTCTTTGCTAGAGGCTGACCATAGCCGCGTGAGGCCCTCGCCGACGAGCCCGGCAACATAGTGGCAATAGAGGTTGTAGTCGTCAACGGTTTCGAGATAGACCTCGCCTGTCGTTGCGGCTTTGTGCGCGTAATCCGCCATGCCAGTTTCCATCTTCTTCGTAATGTCGATGATGATCTCCCGATACCTGTTTACATATATTAGTATGTCGACATCACCGCACGTCAAAACTGACTGACTTCTCATTAAGAAGATTGAGCTCGTGGCTGACCACGCCAAACTCAACAAGCAGCTGTCTGTCCTTCTCGTCTGGCCCGTTCTCTGAGAATGACCAGTCTGGTGTGACGGCGTAATCGTGGAATGCCCGGAGCAGAGGTTGCTTCTTCCCGTCGGGCAGCGTCATGTCATCTTCAATCGTGTCGAGGCCCCGGAGGACGAGATAGAACAGGCAGACCTAGTCAACATGGTTCACGTCAGGTGTGAATGCACAGCTGGCGCTAGCATGCGCACGCGGGTCGCGCAGTTATGCACTTACCACCCTTGCCAGATCGTCCTCCAGCTCCTTGATGACCCCCGAGAAACTGCGGCTGGTGAGGTCCAGGAGCTCCCAGCATCTGCGCATCGTCTTGCGGTCCCATCCCGAGTTCTTGATCTCCTCGGGGGCTGTAATGTCGCGCTCCGCGTCGTGCCAGAGCTTGTACTGCACGAGCGTGCGGAACTCGAGCGGGTGCGTGAGGAGCAGCACAAGCATAGAAACGACGCCCATTATGTTAGCCTTTGTTGGGTAGATCCGCAAGGAGCGTTTGGGGCTGATGAAGGAGTGTGCTGAGCAGGACCTGCGAGACCTCGTCTGCTGCCGTGGGAGATGGTACGATGCCTGCCAAATGGCTCCAAGTATTTGCGGTAGCAGACGCGACGCGCATTCGCGCTTTCCTCCTCCTCGGCAATCTCTTCCACAGCGTCCATCCCGCTCAACTCGAGGTGTGCACCCCAATCCAGATTGTGCTTTTCGCTTCGGGCTGAATACGCCAGACAGAACAGTCTTTCCTACTCGGAAGCCAATTGCCAATTGCCTCGTGAAGCGCTATGGATGCCGCCGTAACTCCCCCTCTGCGCATCCAGACCTCCAACTCGACCCCGATCTCGTCGCAGCTCGCGCGGGCACACCTCAAGAACTTTATCGGCGACTTTGAGCAGCGCGGTGCCGCCACCAGCGGAGGCGACTCCACAGTCATCGCACAGCTCAGAAAGGTCGCGGATGCCCTGCGAGAGGAGCGCGACATTGTCAACAAGACCGTCGAGGCCAGCTGAGCACCCCTGTGAGCGCCCCGTTCTGCGGTCCGGACCAATTTTCTGATGCAGAGCAGATGTAGGAGTTGCGTCCATAAAACTTTCCGTTGTTTCTGATTGTACATGTTCAAAGACTTCATTCTACATCTACCCATTGCTTTCAGCTAGCACCTCCCCCGCGACCCCTCCCAGGATTGCCTATATGCGCCCCTCGACCGGCGAATCCAATTCGGAAAGGACCAAACCCTCTACGAATCGGTAGAATGTGGATCCTTCCCGGCTCCTGAGGATCTGGGCCAATCCTGGGGGTAGGGTTTGGAGTGGTCGGAAATGCACCTGGCATAGACACCGTTTCCTGGGCCTCTTCCTCGTCCTCCTTCTCGTCGGGCTAGGCAAATTGTCTGTGCATGAGCTGAGAGCAGGAATGGAACCAGGTAATCACGCACATCAAGGTCGATTACCAGTGCACCGGTATGCCACCCTGCAGCAGCAGCCGCGAAGCAATACATATCCCTCTCCTTCTCTCCTCGCGCGAACTTCACCTCTGTCGGATCTGCCACGTGCGGCGGGGAAGGGAAACCCCGGCGGCGCAGTACGGCCTGTCTATGTTCTTCGGTTGCAAATCCGCCGGGCTGGCCGACGTCGATCTGTGCCGGGTCGCCCAACCCGAGTGCGCCCTTCGAGAACGCACCCCATGTCAGGAGTTTCCCATCCGAGGTCAGCGCGCCGTAGTGGTAGTCGCCCAGTACAACGGAAATGACACCGCGGTTTTGCAGTCCGGGTATGACGATCGGCGTGAATTCACTCTTGCCCATGAGGACGAGGGACTTTACACCCGTAGTATAGGCAAAGAAAGTCTGAAAATGTGCGGAGATCTGTGCATACGAATGTTAACGGTGTGCTGTGGCTACCGCGTGGATGAACTTGCATGTGTGATCTGCAGCGTCTCAGGCAGCTCCGTGGCTTGTCCCTCCCGGGAGAACGCAGGGTTGGCCCTGATAATCTGCGGGTCGCAGAAGTCGGGGAGCTGACAGGAGTCTCGTCAATCCAAGCCACTGACATTGTTAGCACAGGACTCACGTATCTCCATCCGCCACTCTCATATTCGCCCTCGCCGCCGAGCTTGTCATGTCTGAGGATGTGGCCCTTGTTCGTGAGCGCGATGAGGTAATTATCCATCCCCGCAATCTTAACAATCTTCGTCTCCTCACTCAGCTGCTCCTCCGTCAAGCCTGTGCCCTCCAGCTCCGGGAGGCGACACGTCGAGATTGGCGGGAGCCGCACAGGGTCCACGCCCTGCATTACCCACCAGTGGCACGGGATGACGTTCGGCTCCTCCTTGGTCGGGCGCGCTTTGGACTCGAGGGGCCGTGTCTGGTTCAGTTCCTCGTTCGTGCTCGCGATAACCTCGTGCATCCGCCCGGCGAACGGCCAATAGACGAGGACGTCGCCAGACTGCGTGAGCACAGCCGAGAACGCCCAGCCGCTCTCGATCTGCACGGGCGTGCCGTCCGGCGAGGACTTGTCGAGCAGCACGGAGACGAGGCAGAAGGGCCGCCCCCAGGACGTGAACGTCCAGATGTCCGCGTTGGCGTCGAGCGCGGTGGTGTGCAGGCGGCCGCAGCTGCGATGCTGTTAATATCAGTCGGCCGGCGGAGTCTCGGTGTGCGCTGACCTGATGCTCCGGAACTTGACAGGCAGATTTAATCGCATCGGCTTTTCAGCTATCTTGGAAGGTTCAGCGAAGCCATCGCTGCGCAGCCCAAATCCACTGCCATCCAAGGCCCCTGCGCAAGGTTTAGAGCTTGCTCCACAGGGTCACGAATATCCTCACCCCAGACGTAGATGTCCCCCTGAGAATCCAGCGCGTGAAACGACCTGGTGGGAGGGTCTAGAGATGCACAATTCGCAAGCTACTTGCACTCACATGCCGCCCGCCACTAGGCTCACAATATGGACGCCCGGGATGTGCAGCTGCACGGGGAAGGGGACTCCTGCGGGGACATGGCTTCTCGGGAGTTCGCGCTCGAGCAGTCCAAGTCGCCCCTGAGTCGATTCCCTGTGGGAGGGTTAATGCAATATTAGCACTCTCCCAGCATCCTGGCATTGATCCTCGACGCACCCCCAGACATATAGACGCGGGTCGGCGAGACGTCGGTAGAGGAACCTCCATCCAGTGCGCCTTGCAGTGTCCGCGCCCGAGAAGTTGAAGTCCTGCTGGAGCTTCCGGTGCCAGAACGTCTCATCGGAGGTTAGCTGGTAGAAGAAGTGGCTTGTAGCGGAGAGACGAGCCACGTCTGCGTTCGGGAGCAGTGGGAGGATGTTGTCGAGGAATAGCTCTACGGGCAGGTCTGTAATCCGAGGCATAGCTAGGGACAGCGTATGGAATTGGCAAGATGTTATCAAAGTCGACCGCTGCGTAATGCAGTACAGATGGTGCTTCCGGGGACGAAGAGATTACTTGGAAATATCGATGGCTGGCGTCGGCTCGAGTCTTGTATCCGAGCGATAAGTGGACGGCGTTGGAGCTTGTCCGCGACTACGGCGCAGTGGTGCGCAGAGTGGAGATGCGCTGCGGCCCTGGCAGTCCTTGGCTAATGACAGTATTCTGGTATTATTTACTCTGGAACAGCTGCCATGCGATGGCGTCATGCACGGTGTAAGATATACACTCGGTATATCGTTTGCAAGCATGGAGCACGTAGTATCGCCATGTTATATCAGTGATACATTCAGTGCCAGTTAGTATTGAGACTGGCTCAACAGGATGCAATCATCGTTAGAAATGAAGAAAAAAAAGGGAAAAAAAGATGTAGAGATCATTACAAGGGCCTGGCCGGGAATTGAACCCGGGACCTCCTCCAAGTGAGCTGCGAGACAAGAGCCCTAAGAAGGAATCATACTACTAGACCACCAGGCCATACCTACGGAGACCTTAATAAAGGCTAAGAGCTGTAGAGGAGCTGGTGGACGCGTCCGCGGAGGTAAGTCAGCAGCTGTACTTGGATCGCAGTACTCTCGGCTCTGCAGCCAAGTACTGCAGCAGCATTGCATGCGCAACTCCCTCAAACTAGCCATTGAACATGGCGTCCAGCACGCAGTCCCTACACAACGATTCCCTCGGGGACATCTTCCGCGGCCTCAAGGACAGGGACCATGAGCGTCGCCTCCAGTCCGCAATTGAACTACAGCGTTATGTGCGTACCGATGCTTCCCAGGCCATTACCTCTAGACTCATCCACTCGTCATGGAAGGTCTCGAATACCGTCCCAGAGATGTCCCCCGATGCAGCGGCAAAGCTCTGGGAGAACACGATCACTCCGCGGCTTTTCGATCTCATCCACAGCCAGAGTAACGTCGAGAAGCTGGGCGGCATCCTGGCCATAGGTGTGTCCAACGTATCGGCTATCCCGTTCCCGTTCCATGCACTGACCGCGCTTCGCAGACCACCTGCTGAACGTCGAGGCCGCAGGCACCGAGTTCCGTGGCAACCTCTTCCGCATCTATAACTATGTCCGCTCACTCCTGCCAAACCCCGACATCAATGTCATGCTCGCCGCGTCCAAAACAGTCGGACGCATCGCCGAGATCGGCGGGCCTGCGTTCGGAGAGCGTTTCATGGACCTCGAGGTGCAGGCCGCCATCGCCCTCCTCCAAGGCGACAAGCAGGAGCCCTCGGGCCGCTCTGCGGGCGTGCTCATCCTCAAGGAGCTCGCGCGCAACAGCCCGACGTACTTCCACTCGTACATCGGCATCGTGTTTGACAAGATTCTGGTTCCACTCAGGGACTCACGGGTGATCGTCAGGGAGAGCGCGGCGGAGCTCTTGGCAGCGTGTCTGGAGATCATCATCCACAGGGAGAGACAAACCCGGAGTCCTATTTTGCTGAAGATTCTGCAGGATGCCCAATTAGGTCTGAAAATGGCGGCGCCAGAGGTCATCCATGGGTCGCTTCTGACATATCGAGAGCTTCTATTGCACGGTGGCATGGTGAGCACTATACCGAATGCATGTCTTTTCACACTAATTGACTGTGCGTGACGTAGTTCATGAAGGAAGGTTTCCTTGATGCCGCTGAGCAGATACTCTCATTCAAGACACACCGCGATGCCCTCATCCGCAAGACGGTCATTACTATCATACCGACTCTCGCTGCTTATGACACCTCCTCGTTCTCCGAACACCATCTTCACAGGGCAATGGCCCACCTGCTTACACAGCTCGACAAACCCAACGAGCGGTCTGTGGCTTTCATTGCCATCGGGCATGTCGCGACCGCGGTCGGCAGCGAGATGAAGCTCTTCCTCGACTCCATCATGACACACATCAAGCAAGGCCTGCAGATGCGGGGGTACGTCTGCGCTCAGTAGTCCGCTGCTCGCTGTCTTACAGTTTATGTAGAAAGAAGAATGCGCCGTCGGAAGAGCCGATCTTCCAATGCGTTGGCATGCTCGCAGAGGCAGTCGGCCCCAACTTAACGAAGCTATTGCATGACCAGCTCGACCACATGTTCGCATATGGCCTGAGCGAGCCGCTACGACAAGCGCTCGTCGCCATCGCGCGATACATCCCACCTCTCCTACGGACCATCCAAGGTACGTTCCTCCTCGCATCGAGTCTATAAGCACAATAAAATAACATACACCATAAATACAGACCGCCTCCTGGATCTGCTCTCGCACATTCTGATCGGGCGGCCGTATAAGCCACTCGGTGCACCTCCGTCGCTCCTCCGCGGCGAGTCCGCGACGTCAACGCGAGATTTCACGAACGGCGAGGTCAGACTCTCTGTGTCCACCCTCGCGCGTCTCCATGCTCACGGAATGCCCCAGGTGCCAGGGAGCCAGAAGAGCCCTGAGCTGATGACACTTGCGCTGACGACGCTCGGCACGTTCGACTTCACGGGGCACATCCTAAACGAGTTCGTGCACGCCGCAGCGCTGCCGTACCTCGAGGAGGACCAGCCCGAGGTCCGCCGTGCTGCAGCGCTGACGTGCTGCCGCCTCTTCATGAAGGACCCCATCTGCTACCAGGCGAGCAATCACTCAATCGAGATCATCAGCGACGTGATCGACAAGCTGCTCACGGTTGGTATTGCTGATCCAGGTATGTTCTGGCTTGTCTGGGCGCGTGATAGTGGTGCTGACGCGGCGCAGACCCGAGCATTAGACAGACCGTGCTGTCGTCGCTGCATGATCGCTTTGACAAGCACCTGGCGCAGGCGGAGAATGTGCGATCGCTGTTCATCGCTGTCAATGATGAGGTGTTCGAGAATCGTGTCACTGCGATTGGGCTCATCGGACGGCTTGCGGGACATAATCCGGCATATGTTATGCCATCCCTACGGAAGATCCTCATCCAGCTCCTGACCGAGCTCGAGTATTCCACTGTAATGTACGTTTCCACTCTCATTATCATAAATGCGTGCACGCTAATGCTGTACGCTCAGGCGGAACCGCGAAGAATGCACCCGCTTGCTCACGCTTCTCGTCGGCGCGACCCAGCGTCTGATCAAGCCGTACGCACTGCCGATGCTGCGTGTGCTGCTCCCAAGGGCAGAGGACAACAACGCGACGGTCGCCGCGAACGTGCTGATGTGCCTCGGCGAGCTCGCGTGCGTCGGTGGCGAGGACGTCATGCCGTACGTCCCGCAGCTCATGCAGGTCATCATCACACGCCTCGCGGACCCCGCACTCATCAAGCGCGATGCGGCGCTGCACACGCTCGGCCAGCTCTGCTCGCACACTGGATACGTCATCGCACCGCTCGTGGACTACCCCCAGCTCCTCCCGACACTCAGCAGGATCCTGAGGACGGAGCTGACGCAGTCGGTGAGGAGGGAGGTGATCAAGGTCTTGGGTATCTTGGGCGCGCTGGATCCGTATCGCCGGAAGGTGTGGTGGCTAAAGTTCAGCTTTCACAGTGTGCTGATAGTGGACTTCAGGTGAAACCCGAGGAAGAAGCCGCGAGTGAACTGGCGTCGAGCCTGGTCAACACCGTGCCAAGGAATTATCCCAGCTTGTCAACCAATTCCGACGATTACTACCAATCTGTGGCGATCAACGCCCTGCTGGGCATTTTGAATGATCAGTCTCTACATACTCATCATCACAAAGTTATCGAGGCGATTATGTCCATATTCAAGACACAGGGTCTCAAATGCGTCACATTCTTGCCTCAGGTGGGCCGCATTCACTTAGTCACATAATCTACGTTTTGCTGAGCCGGAGCGGTCAGATTATTCCCGCTTTCACTTCGGTGGCGCGGACGTCTACTTCCCGATTCCAGGTCTTCCACTTAGAGCAGCTTGCCATCCTCGTCGGCATCATCAAACAGCACGTCCGCAATTACACACCCCAAATCTTCCGGCTCGTGAACGATCTTTGGGACAACGTCTCTTTGCAGCTGCCCCTCGTCTCTCTCGTGGAGGCGCTTGGGAAGGCCCTCGACGCCGAGTTCCGGCCGTTCTTGCCCACGATTCTGCCGTCCATGCTGAAGGTCTTTGACCAAGAACTCAACGAGAAAGTCATGGCCACGCAGGCCAAGATCTTCGACGCGTTCCTGACGTTTGGCTCGAACATCGAAGAGTACCTGCAGCTGGTCATCCCGACGATCGTCAGGACGTGCGAGCGGACGGAGGCTTCTGTAGGGTTGCGGAAGAAGGCGATCCAGACAATAGATGGGCTCTCCAGACGTGTCAATTTCTCCGACCATTCGTCCCGCATCATACATCCCTTCGTCCGAGTATTGCAGCAGAACAGTAATGAGCTGCGCCAGGCCGTGTTAGACACAATGTGCTCGCTGGTCATCCAGTTAGGTCCGGATTTCGCCGTTTTCGTGCCCACTATCAACAAGGTAAGACGGCGACCGATCTGATGTAAGTCATTGCTAATTGATATTGGTTGTAGTGCTTGTTCAGGCATCGTATCAACCATCCCAATTATGAGAACCTGATATCGAAGCTACTCAACGGGGAGCGTTTACCTCAAGAGACGAGTGTCACTGATGCTATGTTCGTCATCACTCTTTTTGACTTGGCATTCTACTACTGAATTCAACTCAGGTCCAGCGATAGTTTGAAGGCTGCGGACTTCTCAGCGCCGGCTGAAGCCACAAAGATGACCGTCAACCAACAGCATCTCAAACAGGCATGGGATGTGTCACAGATTGCGACCAAGGATGACTGGATTGAATGGATGCAAAAGCTGTCGGTCGAGTTTATGAAAGAATCTCCGTCTCATGCAATGCGAGCGTGCATGAGTCTGGTCGATGTGCACCACCCACTTGCCAAAGAGCTCTTCAATGCTGCATTTATCTCATGCTGGAGCGAATTGTACGATCAATACCAGGTGTGACTGTCCTCAAGAGTTCATGGATATTCGCACTGACTGAGCTTGTGCTATTTCTAGGAAGACCTCGTTCGCTCCATCGAGTACGCAATTACGTCGTCGTTCGCTCCTTCGGAAGTAATTCACCGCTTCCTGAACCTCGCTGAGTTCATGGAGCACGAGGAGAAACCTCTGCCGATCGAGAATCGGACGCTCGGAGAGTATGCCATGCAATACCACGCCTTCGCCAAAGCACTGCATTATAAGGAACTCGAATTCTTCACGGAGACTTCGCCCACCATCATTGAGTCGCTCATCAGCATCAACTCAAAGTTGCAGCAACACGACGCTGCATGGGGTACTCTCCAGATTGCACACGGTCAGTACGACGTGAGTAAGCACGAGGAATGGTATGAGCGACTCGGGAGATGGCAAGAAGCTTTGCGGACCTACGTGGATAAGTCCCAGGAGGACCCCGACAACCTGACCTACGCTATTGGCAAGATGAAGTGCTTGCACGCTTTGGGCGAGTGGGACCAGCTTGCGCAACAAGTCGATGAGCACTGGGCGAACGCGAGCTACGAGGACCGGAGGCAGATCGCTCCTATGGCGGCGGCAGCGGCGTGGTCGCTGAAGGATTGGGATTCCATGGAAGACTATATTGCGACTATGAAGCCAGATACACCGGACCGCTCGTTTTATCGCGCCATTCTCTCTGTGCATCAGAATCAGTTCCCCAAGGCGATCGCACAGATTGCGAAAGCTCGAGACCATCTTTATCACGAACTGTCGCCTCTGGTGGGAGAAAGCTATGGCCGGTCGTATAAGTGAGTGCAACTTACCATTGTTTCTGAAGGAGTTGATTGACATCTTTTAGCTCCATGGTACGGGCGCAGATGCTCTCTGAGCTCGAAGAGATCATCATGTACAAGCAATATGCCGATCAACCTGAGAGACGGCTAACAATCCGCAAGACCTGGATGAAGAGGTTTGCGACACGTATCTCTTGGGGCTGTTGCTTAATGCTAACAGTTGATCAGATTGCAAGGCTGTCAGCCCGACGTTGAAGTGTGGCAACGCATTCTTCAAGTCCGCGCCCTTGTCCTCAGTCCCGACGATGACCCTGTCATGTGGATTAAATTCGCGAATCTTTGTCGAAAATCGGACAGAATGTTCTTGGCAGAGAAGACGATAAACTCTCTTCTCTCTCCTGAACGGGTGCGCAGTACGAGACCTGGTCTAAGGCGCGAAGGCTGAAGTCTTTTACAGCTCCAGCAGTTCTATTCTGATGCTGGCGGCACCGGAAAGGCACCTCCTAATGTCGTTTATGCGCACCTGAAGTACATGTGGTCCAAGGGAGTCAAAGAGGGTACCTTGGTCTACATGCGTAGATTTGCTGCCAGCCTTCAGAAGGATCTACAAGTGGGCCCTGATGCCGGCAGCCAGAGCGCTGTCTCTAGACAGAAGTTGGACGAACTGTCACGGCTACTGGCCAGGTGCTATCTCAAGCAGGGAGAGTGGCAAGTAGCCATGAAGGATGTCTGGAGTGCTGTAAGATGCAGACCATTACCTGCTGATTAATTTTAACCGCTCGCTTTCCAGAGGAATATCAAGGATATCCTAAAATGTTATGCACTCGCAACACATTTTGACCCGCAATGGTACAAGGCTTGGCACACATGGGCGCTCGCCAACTTCGAGGTTGTAGGCTTCTTAGAAAGCCAAGCCGAGAAGAGCTCGGACTATCCTAGCAATTCTCTCGTCGCGCATATTGTCCAGGCTGTCGGCGGTACGTCCAGTTCATCCATAAAGTATACACCGAGTGACTTGTCGATACACAGGATTCTTCCGGTCCATTGCGCTGCGAAACGAGAATGCTCTGCAAGACACACTACGTCTCTTGACTCTGTGGTTCAAGTACGGCGGCCATGACGATGTCAGCAACGCGATGAGCAGTGGATTTGGTGAGGTCGAGGTAGACACTTGGCTGGAGGTCATCCCCCAGGTAAATCTTCTGCTTACTGTACGGGCTTGCGTCTCACATTATTGTATCCCAGATCATTGCTCGAATCCAGACGCCAAGCGCAAATATCAGACGGAATATCAATAATCTCCTCAGTGACGTCGGCAGACATCATCCGCAGGCCTTGGTGTATCCCTTGACGGTCGCATCGCAATCGTCAAGTGAGACGCGTAGGAGCGCTGCCCTCACGATTATGAACCGTATGAGAGAACATAGTCAGAATATTGTGGAACAGGTGTGTTCACTGGTCATGTGGTTCGATTCTCGCTTTCTTACAATTTTTTGGCAGGCTCTTCTTGTTAGTCAAGAACTCATTCGTGTCGCTATTTTGTGGCACGAGCAATGGCACGAAGCTTTGGAAGAGGCGTCGCGCCTCTACTTCACGGACAAGAACCCATTAGGCATGATTGCTTTCTTGGATCCATTCCATGATAAGCTAGAGAAGGTACCCGCGTATAAAGCCGCTTATCATGGCACCTTGACTAATGTGACATTCGTAATCTAGGGCCCTCAAACAGCTAGGGAGACTAGCTTCATCCAAGTATTTGGACGCGATTTGCACGATGCACGCCAAGCGTGCAAGAGATACCAGGCCTACGGCGACACGAAAGAATTGGACAAGGCATGGGAAATCTACTACGGAGTGTTCAAGAAGATCGAGAAGCAACTACCGCAGCTTACCACTCTTGACCTCCAGTATGTGTCGCCTGAGCTGCTCAAGGCCAGAAACCTGGACTTGGCAGTGCCTGGTCAGTCAATGTTACAAACACGTGACTTTCGCTCGACTATTGATACTCGTTCCATAGGCACCTACCAGGCTGGTCGGCCAATCATCACCATCACATCTTTCACAGCTAAGTTGACTGTGGTATCGTCCAAGCAACGTCCACGTCGACTGTCCTTGAAGGGCAGTGATGGAAGAGACTACCAGTACCTTCTCAAAGGTCCGGGCTACCTCTATTCACATCATTAGCGATGCTCACCATTCTTATAATCCAGGACACGAAGACTTGCGACAGGATGAACGTGTGATGCAGCTGTTCAGCCTTGTCAACAATCTTCTCGCTGTCGATACGGACTGTTTCAAACGGCGTCTGCATATCCAACGGTTCCCCGTTATACCCTTGGCGCCGAACGCTGGTCTGCTGGGATGGGTCCAGGACAGTGACACGCTGCATGTCCTGGTACGAGACTACCGAGAGTCGCGTAAAGTGCTTCTGAACATCGAGTACCGCTTGATGCTGCAAGTACGTAGTCCGTCACCAAACGAAACCACTCATAGTAACCATTCTTAGATGGCACCGGACTACGAGAACCTCGTTCTACTCAACAAGATCGAGGTATTCGAGTACGCGCTCGAGAACACGACCGGGCAGGACCTGTACCGCGTGCTGTGGCTCAAGAGCGTCAACTCGGAGCACTGGCTGGAGCGCCGCGCGACGTACACACGGTCGCTCGCGGTGAACAGTATGGTCGGGCACATCCTCGGACTGGGCGACCGGCACCCGTCGAACTTCATGCTCGAGCGTAACACGGGCAAGGTCGTGCATATCGACTTTGGTGACTGCTTCGAGGTCGCGATGCACCGCGAGAAGTTCCCAGAGAGGATCCCCTTCCGCCTTACGCGGATGCTCACGCATGCGATGGAGGTCGGTATTCTTTACTATGATTTCACGCTGGAGCGGCAGCGGCTTACTAATAAGGGTTACAGGTCAGCGGCATCGAGGGCAGCTTTAGGATCACGTGCGAGATCAGCATGAAGGTCTTGCGGGACAACAAGGAGTCCCTGATGGCCGTGCTCGAGGCTTTCGTGTACGATCCGCTGATCAACTGGAGGCTGATGCAGACCGACACCGAGGCGCGGCGGCTAGATGGTGCGGCTATATGCACTTCATTCTCGATTGGCATGAATGCTCACATTCTGCGTAGGCCACGCCACCACGAGTCGCGCGGATATGGCGCGGGTGGCGGCGTATCCGCAGGCGCCGTCGCGCAAGCTCAAGGCGGACGAAAACGACATTTTCAACGGTGGGTGCCCTGCGGATAACGTCGACGTGCGACCCGCTGATGTCTGCGATAGAGGACCAGGAGATCCGGAACGAGCGGGCGGTCTTCGTCTACAACCGCGTGCAAAATAAGCTGACTGGTATGCTCGATGAGTTCAGCGAACCACGGAGCCTGCGCTGACGGTTGTTTAGGTCGGGATTTCAACCCGGAGGTGTCTCTGTCGGTGCCGGAACAGGTGGACAAGCTCATCATTCAAGCCACTTCGCTGGAAAATCTGTGTCAGTGCTTCTCTGGATGGTGAGTGCGCTTAGTGCATTTGTACCGTTCAGTGCTCATGGCTTCGCAGGTGTGCATTCTGGTGATCTGCGGACTGTTGTTTTACTGTATCTATACCTGGAATGTAATGCCTATAATGAACTGCATATCTATCTTTCTTCAAACGGCCGCTCTTGTCATTCTTGCAGACGCGCTCCCTACACACAGAATTGGGTCTACTATGCATCGAGTGCCGTTTGAGTTACGGCAGTGCCTCTGTCAATAAACCGAGTGTGCTGGCAATTCGCAAACGAAAGCGGCACGGGTAAAAACGAGTAGCAGTGACGCAAAACGAGGTACACGAGTCATGAGGGCTTGGCCGGGAATCGAACCCGGGACCTCCTCCATGCAAGCGAGCTAGGACGCTCAACCCTAAGAAGGAATCATACCTCTAGACCACCAAGCCACAGAGGGGTCGTCACGGTGTACCAGGGTGAGTCGACGCAAGGGCACCGGTGGGAGACTTTGGCAGTGGCCGCGATCGGTGTGCTCTGCTCTCCTGCACTGTGTGGTGCAGATATTGTCGCTGAATCCTTCGTGACTCGATTCGCAACATTGTGTTCGGGACGGAAGCGCAGAGATTGGCCAAGCACGCGGAGAGTCGTCGCAGCCGCATCGCCGCTTGCCAGTGCGGGCCGTCAGCTGTGTCTTCGCGCCACAACCACACTCCGGTGAATCCACGGAAGGAACGATGCCCCGGGGCATACCCAATGCGAAGCGGGATGAGTCCGCCATGCGATACACGTCATTCCATGTCCCCCTAGCGTTAGTCCAATCGTCCAGTTAGCGGGTGCACTGAAATGAATGAGTCCCGCCGTTCCAGGCCCAACCCGAAGCATCTCAGCTCGACATACCTCAAGTCCGAGTCGCAGACGGTATGGTACCGCAACGCCGTGCGCGGCGGCAAAACAAAGGGCCCAGACGAGTCCGGAGTTGCTACTCCGAGTGAGGTACGGGAAGCCGCTCTATCCGTGAACGCACTGCGAACGAACTACCCCGCAGGCTCGGCGAGGATCCAAGGTCCTTGTCATACATCCCGGTTCGCGATTCCTGAGGGTAGGGAGAGCATCCGATGTCACTCCTGTCACCGTCCCGAATGTGATTGCGCGGAAACACAAGCCTCCAGTACCTCCCCTGCGATACGTGGAAGGTATTGCCCGCCCTCGCAGGGATCGTCCCAAATCTCAGTCCGCTCCTGCCCAGAACGGCGACGAATATGCCGTGCCCTTCGATCCCGACGACCCGGTACGTCTGCCCGCTACTCCTCCGTGCGTGCTGCCGACCAAGTATGCCTTTCCCAGTTCGAGACGAAGCTCGCTGCAATCACCATCTCGCTACGTGACAGGATGCGGTTTTATAAACTGCGTGTGACTCCAAACGCTGCAAGCATTGCTACGACATTCAACGAGTCCTTTGTTCCCGAGACCATCCCGGAGGCAAATGACCCGTTCCGCGTTGACTGGATAACAGAACCTCCCGCGGAAGATTTCCTGGTTGGTGAAAAGGTCGCTGAATGTCTTCGAACCTGCTTCACTGCGCAAGACTGACATCTGCGACAGGCCCTGCGTCTGTCAAATCCCGTAGATTTGGGATACGTCGTCAGGAGGCCAATGCATGGCGGGAAGTTTAACACTCGGGACTACTCCTCGATTCAACTCTGCTTGAGCGACATTGAAACAATTTTGCGGACGACGCTGAAGGAGAAGCTGCAGATCGAGGAGCAGTCGTACCAGGTTGCTCATTCAGTCCTTCTGTGGCTGCAACGAAGCTAACCGTTATCACGGGCAGGAATACTCAGTTGTGCTTGTGATACCCGATTTCTATGATAGGTTTTACGTCCAAGGTCTCGTGCGAATGCTCCTGATTACAATGGGATTCAAGCAGCTATGTGCCCAGCAGGTCAACGTCGCTCGTGTGATGCGGGGTGCCTGTGGCTGATGGCTCTCTCAGGAATCCCTGGCTGCGACATACGGAGCAGGCATCTCCAATGCATGTGTCGTCGACATGGGCGCAACCAAAACGAGTATTGCGTGCGTCGACGACGGCTTCGTTCTTCCCGAGACACGGTAAGTTTGGGCCGTTACACATACCACCTTACGCGGCTGTGCCGAGCCCTATTCTTAGGATGCTTCTCGACATGGGGGGTGACGACATTACCGAGTTCCTCTATGTGCTCTTTGAGAAGATCGGCTTCCCGTACAAGGAGCTGGACCTGACACGCTCATACGACTGGGCCGTTATCGAAGACCTCAAGGCGCGCCTGTGCACCCTTGCCGAGGTACCTTCCCGTCCGGCTTGCGATATATTACTCTCCTGATGCTTTCCATGCACCAGGGCGATGTCGCCCTCAATCTATACGACTTTGTCGTGCGCCGCCCGGGGAAGCCGACGGAGAAGTACGGCCTCCGCGCCTATGACGAGACGATCCTCGCGCCGATGGTCAGTGCGTTTCTTCTATCGAACACCAAGAAACCGCTCACCCGTACGCCAGTGCCTCTTCGAGCCGCGCGTCATCGAATTCGACCAGAAGCGCGAGGGCTTCCGGCCGGTGTCGCACCCCGACGTGACGGAGGGGCTCATCGAGCAGACGTCCGACTACGTCGTAAGCGCCCTCCCTTACCCGCACACCCCGATGCACTCACAGGCGGAATCAGACGCAGGCGATGGTCATCTCCACGCAGCACCTCCTCCCGACCGCGGCCCCCGCCACTCTGACGGCCCCCGAGCCGCTGCAGACGCCCCCCGAGCCGGGCACGCAGACGCCAGGCACCGCGGGCGAGCTCGCATTTATCGGCTCCCCACAGCCCGCACAGGCAGGTGCGTAGCGCGCGGATCGCTGACATCGACCTTCGCTAACCACGCGCCAGGCACCGCCGCTGGCACTCCCACTGCCGACGACGCTGCCGCCTCCGATGACACAGCGCAGGCGTCCGCAGGTGCAAATGCCCCTGTCGCCAAGCCGTCCGCGGGCGACGGCTCGGCGGACGCGCCCATGGAGATCGCGGACGACGAGGGAGAGAGCAAGGCGCAGACGCCGACCGCCACCGCCAACGCCAGCGCCAACGCCAACGCGAACCCCCCTCCCAGTGCAAGCGCGAACCCGAGCCCGGCGAGCGTGGTGGGCGCACCGGAGCCTGCGCCTGCGAGCACGGTGCCCGCGCCGACGTTCCCGGGCGGATACGCGATCGACGTGTGCTTCGAGGCGAGCAAGCTCCCGCTGGACGTCGCGATCTTCAACAGCGCGCGGGCCGCGGGCGGGGACGAGAAGATCCGCAAGTACCTCCAGGCGGTGCTTGTCGTCGGCGGTGCCGCGCTCGTGCCCGGCATGGCGCACGCGCTCGAGAGCAGGTGCGCATCCGTTCTCATCCGCACCCATACCCGCGCTTCTTGCCGGGCGGGGGTTGCGGGCTGCCAGAGCGGACGAGTACTGACGCGCGGACGGCGGGCAGGCTGCAGGCGATCGCGACGCCGCTCGTGCCGAACATGGAGAAGGTGCAGGTCGTGCCCGCGCCGAAGGATGTCGACCCGCGCGTGCTCGCGTGGAAGGGCGCGGCGGTGCTGGGGAAGATGGACGGCGTGGCCGACCTCTGGGTCACGCCTGCGGACTGGGTGCGTCCAATTTTGCAAGGTTCGCGCCGGCGTGGCCAGGATGCTTACCTGCTTGCTCGGCACAGGACCTCTTCGGCATGCGCGCGCTGAAGGAGCGGTGCTTCTACCTTTGAGGTTGCCATAGGGAGCGGAGTCGGACTGGACGTGGAGACAGTGGGATGGTGGCGGTGAGCTCGGGGCTCGGATGCGCCGACCCATGGTGGTGGACGAACTGTCGTTCGGTTGCAGATGGCGACCATCTACACATGCACCACTGAATTCAGAGGCTGACTGAGATGACTGAACTCTGCTGCCTCATGAGAAATATCGCAGGGAACTCTCAAATGCACCATGTGGTACAGGAGTGGCAATGCCAAACAGACGTGTGCACCTTCAATTACATCTCAAGTAAACAGGCAGAATGCTGAGCTAATCTGATAGCCCGGGTACAGTTACAATCCAACAGTGCAGGAATGGGAGGCAGAGCTACTGAATGTGTCAATGTGTTAAGGAAACGGTGGCGATATGTTAGAATGCGCGGTGAAACAGCCCGATGAGTGACAGAACAGAAATAAAGAAACCTAAGTCCGTGCGACGAGGCAAGGAATGCTGGGTATCAGTTACAGGTCTTCTTCTCTCATCACAGCGATTCCGAGACGTCTCTTCATAGCGAGCAGATTCTTGCCCCTGAAGGTCTTCCAAGATTTGGTCAATAGTTGTATCTCTGCCTTTCCTTGACTGCTCATAGAAGAAGCCGAGCAAATATGACAGTGACGCCAATTTGAATAAGAACAGAGAACAATCAGCGCCCGGAGAACAAGGACTGAGGAGAGTACGTACTCTTGTCTGGCCTTCCAAGCGATCTTGGCACGTCCCTTTTCGCGCCAGTCGGCAATCGGACTCTCCGGAATGGCAAGAGTGCCCCCGTGCTTATTGGCCTTATTGGCTCTTGATATGTTGTACAACTCCTGAGCGGAGGCCGTAACGGTATCGACAAGCTCTTGTATGACCTCATCCGCGAGACGGTTCGGAGTGAACGGACAGGCACAGTCAGCGCGACTCTTGTGAAGCTTCGGATACGGGAGGGCGGCGCGGCACATAGGACAGTCTAGCTCCTTGTGGAAGGACTTGCATTCCTCGTGGAATTTGCCAAAGAAGAGGGCGAGGATGCAGAGGGCACAGTACGAGTGTCCACACAGCTCGGGCACGAGGATGTAGGGAGCCGCCCTGTAGACGTGATCGGTCAGTGAGAATACTCGTCGCCGGAAGAAAGTGGCGTACATGACATCCATGCAGCTGCGAATGGAACAAGGCACGCGACTCAGAAAACGTATCCGTATGAACGTAATGGCACCACATACAGAGAACATTGGAACTGGGAATCCAACTTCGCGAGGGCACGCTCCCCTCGTTCAATCGAGAGGCTCAGGAGCAGCTCGTTAGCCTCCTTCTCCCTCTTGTTTAGAGCTTCCTCCCTCTTGTCAAGCTTCTCAACTTTACGCTTGACCTCTTTGTCCAATCGCTCAAGATCCTTCTCGCGTTTGGTCAGACTCGACCTGTCCTTGTCCTGCCTCTGCCTGTGACTCGCCGCCAGCTTGTCAAGTTCATCCATTCTGAGCTTCGCAACCTCTTCAAGCTGCCTGATCCGCGCCTCCATTTCGCTCCGCGGCACCATATCTGACTTGTCATTCTGGCTGGCTGGGTTCTCTGACGCCCCTTGGGTCGACCCAGTGTGTGGCGCAGAGGCAGGCTTCGCGGTGGCAACGCGTGCAGGTACATCGCGACGGCGCAAAGACGTGACGGATTTGTTGATAGAAC